AAGCCAGCCCATACTCTATTTAAATGTAAAGCATTAATTGCAAAAAAAACTCCCTTCTTCCACTGAACTGATACCACAAGTCCAACCAGCCAATCTGCTCATCCTTACATACTAACCTAAGCCTAGCATTTAGCCCTAGCAACCTACTTATAACTTTATCCCCACAGTTAATTCTGGGCAGTATCCCTAGCAAAATTAAGCTATAGCCATTTTCTTTAAATGACTTTATCAACCCCTTGTACATATTAATTAGCTCCTCTGATCTACCTTTCCCTACATCATTAGCCCCTACATGCACTACAAAAACTGCATTTCTGTTAGCCCCCTTTATTATATCTTTTGCTCTGTCAGTTATATTCTCCACCTGTGCCCCTGGATAGAACAATCTGATTCTTTTCTCCCTATTTACTCCACAGATTATTCTATCCACGTGCCTTTCAAAAAATCACCTCCTTATCATCCACATCCTTCTCTGACCCTTTTGTTTTCTTTCCCTCCAATAATTCCTCATCTGCAGAAGTCAAGACTGATGAAGCATGCACCAAATTCATCAGACAAAACTTTCTGCTAGTAACTTTTGAGCATATTACTGAGCGAAAGACATTAAATTCCATAATACTTTCCAATAGTAGAGGTGATTTCCAGTTATCCACCTTAACATATCATCAATATGAAACATGTCTCAAAATATTTTGGGATGAAATTCTTCTCCTACACTAACCCAAAACTAAAAAAGAAAGACTGTTTAGAAACTATAGAAATCATCAAAGCAAATAACCTCTCACTAAACTGTGATAATGGGCACAGCAACATGAGCCATATTTGACAAGGTCTATTCACCATTCATACACATGACCAGACCTGATCTCTACCTATATCCTGTCACCCCCTGACACCATTTCCATCACCCTTAATTCCTATTGTCTTAGTAACAATATATAAACCTTGGATCGCTTAGTACTGATTATACCTGAAGAAGACAGACCAATGTTCTGTCCAAACATGTTGTATGTTCCACCATCAATAAAACTTTTCCTTATGCTTATAAATCATTGTTTGCCTACCTACTATTATATTAGCATAATGTGCTTCCTTACTCAAATAAGTTACTATACTGTTATAAAATCAGTTTATCTTTCGAATAAAGGAAGAATAAAATAACTATAAATGAAAGAACAACATATTTTATTAACATGTTGCATATAAAATGACTAACAACTATCGTCTAAGGATAATTCAAATTACTCAGATACATAAGAGGGTTTAATAAACAGAACACACAAGTAGCAATTTAGGCTATCATGACAAAGATCTGACTAATTTGACATACTTAACAATAGAATTACAAGTTGAAACTATATGGACCCTTTTGGGTTCTTAATTAGATTTTTATAAATTATTTATGCACTAAAGTGCTTGTGGGTCCATGGATTTATTGGTTACAGGGTATCTAAATATACAAATTAAAAAAAAAAGTAAACAAAAATAACATTAATACTACCCATACAGGTTGGTCAATGTCTAAATGTTATGACCTATTCAGAGTTACATTCAAAATTAAACAACTTTATTATCAATATATGTCAATGGACTTGGCATCAAAATATAATTTATAAATCATATTTTAATATCATTCAAGTTATAATTTTTTGAATGTAGAAGGAAATATTCAAAAAAATTCTCAACCTTTACTCTTCTGTATCACACGTGACACATCTGAGTTCTCCCCTTTAGATTTTATAACTTCAACAATTCAGCCTCTATAATGCCTAACTAATTAGAATTACAAACTAATCATATTGGCAGCAAAGAATGTAAAATTCAAACCTCCTACCTTCTAGATTTGCTGAGGTATCACTAAATTTGTCAAACCCACAAAAGAAGCCACTTCCAACTTTTTATATGCATTTCAAGCAAATTAATCACTTGCACTTCCTTGTCTGATGGCCATGTTAATGACAAATAGGAAGAGTGTACTGTAATGTATCGAAACCTTAAGCTTGTTTGTTTTTGGTGGTCAAAGATGGTAGTTTGCAAGCAAAGCTCTTGATGTGTGTTGAGTAGAGTTGTTGCTATTTTTAGTTTAGATAAAAAAAGGCAGATAAATTATAGTAGTTTTGGGACATTTTACTTTAGTGCCTGATATATATTTTGTGTTCTAAAATGCATATTTTAAAGCTTCATGAATTATGTTTTGGATAGCCAACAGAGTGAGAAAAACATCGGGTAACTGAAGCACAGCATCTAAATGCAAATGGTGCTAAATTTCTTGTATTTTTTGTAAATTTTTCAACATAAGTAAGTCAAATATAAAAATTAGAAACATTTTAGGTTATGTAACAAAGTTTACATAGAATTTAGTTTGATGAAGAAGCTAGAAAAGTTCTTGGGGTCAGAGTGTGCTTGTAACTTTATCACTTGTTTACCCAAAGCTGTACTGGAACATCCTTTATGATTTATTGCATTTCACAGAGAGAGAAGGTACAAAGTACAGTAATAAAACCATTAAATTAAAAGAAAGATGTGAAACCTGAATGATTTCTTCCAAAGGATGGCAAACACAAGCAGCCAAGGAGAAGTTACATTATGGAGACAGCAACCTTCCTTGGATAAGTCTGAATACACCAGCCTAAACAGTTGATGAACCCAACCAGTAAGCAGGGGACAGATCATAGGAAATGGAAGGGTTCCACGGAATATAAAGTTGGGAATGTGAACCCAAAAATGAGGCAGTATGTGCCACATAACATCTTAAGGAGTGAACTAAACAAAGAAGCCAACTAGGATCAGAATGAGAGTACAGGTGGGACATGGAAAGCAAAGAAATGGGTGTGAAAGCCAAACCTAATCAGCTGATGAATCCAACCAGTAAGCATGGCAGGGGGTAGAGTGCAGAATTAATCTTCTTATACTAAAGAAAATATTGTAGGAATTTAAGATCATTGCAAAGAACAGAAATGCCATCAGGAGCAGTGAACCATGCTCTAAGATAGACTCAAACAAAAAAGATGCAGATGTCAGAGAGTCCTCTTTCCTCATGGCCAGTGAGCTTAAACCATCCCATAAGCATCAAGATCTTGAAGGCATATATTGCCTTATCTATCCACCATGTATGATGCCTTGCTTCAAGCACTATAAAAATCACACTCCATGAGGAAGGATGCCACAAGGAAAGGTTATGACTAGTTTAAGAAGCTCTAAGTTGGCTGATCTGAAGTTGTCTTGTAGCAAACTCAATGACACTATCCTTACTTTCTCTATGGCTTCTGATACTTCATCATGGTCAGCTGTATTTTTATAACTGGGCTGGTCCATATATTCCCAAGACTGCTGGAATCGATTGAAAATTTTAATATCTGGACCAGACAAATTCCCCATACAGTCTTTAAAAACACAACAAGTACCACAACAAGTTCTAAAATTTGATGCTAATATACCAAATATAGGAGATTCTTGTTTAATCTTTGTTCTAACAATACACAAGCTCCATTTTTATGACCAGTGTTGCTTGCTGTTGTGTCAAAGTGAATTGCCTTTACCCAATCAATAACTCCACATTCTTCCAGCAAAGGTACCACAGCAGTAGATTGAGACTCTACGGTGCTAGAAATCAACTTCAGAGCATCTAGGAGTTGATTTATTCCTGCTCCAGATAGGATCACTTGTTCCCTGAGATCATTAAGAAGCTTGCTATCTAATGTGGGGGTGCAGTAAAGTCTACATAGGTGAAACCGGCAAGGGCCTGACAACAATACTAAATGAACACAAAGCAGATGTCTGAAAAGAGAACACAACCAACACGATAGCAGCACATGCAGAGAAAGCAAGGTACTTGCATAAATGGAAGGAAACTAAAGTCATCAGCAAAGGAATGGAAAATCAACAGAGGAAAGCAATAGAAGCTACTTACATCTTACTATAAAAGAACTTAAACATCACAGCAGGAGTCCACAAATGGGTGGAAGTGGCAGCAAGCCTGGTGAAACAACAGCAGAACGTTGATTTGTTAGGTGGCGGTCGATAGACGGTGGTAGTGGACCAATCAGAGTGCAGCAAGAAGAAGTGACCAGAAACTTAATCCGGGAAGACCTGTATAAATACCCTTGTAAGGCATTATGGTATCATAATCTCCTGAAGAAGACTTGCAGTCGAAACATTGAGAATAAAAAGAACCTGACATAGCAATCATAGTCTCATTGCTACCTTAGTATCTATTTGTCAACATGACTAATACTTAATCTAGAATTTTCCAGAAATGTTTAGAATATTCTAGAGTATTTAGAATATGAAGATACAACGCAAGGTACATGGTAAAATTCAACTACCTTGAGCAACTTCAAAATGTTATTCAGGAAGTATAAAATTTGGTGTGAATTACTTATCTATTTATTGGAACAAAATAAGGGGGTAGGAAATGTTGTAAATCAAAACTTCAAAAATAAGGACCATCCTACCTCACATATCTGTTATAGATTGAAAAGTTTGTTTTGAAATTTTATAGCAAAACATTTATTGTACTAATTTTGGTATTGAATCTTTATACAGTAATATTCATATGGAAGAAACAATTTTGAAACCACCAAACATTTTCGTTGGAAGAAGTATATAAAAGTACTTACTTGAGACAAATTTCCTGGATTACCTAGTACTTTACAATACACATTTCATAGCATTTTAAACATTCTATGAACAAATTTGCACTTGTAGTATTATGCACATTATTTACTTTACACATCTGGATTTTCTTGGTCTGCTTCACTTACCCTTTCTTCACATCTATATATTTGAAAAGGAAGCTCATCCATTCCAGTGTATTATGAATTTCACTGTATGTATAATGACTGTTATGGAGATATATATGGATGTGTCTACACATATACATATGTTAAAAGAAGATAAAAACAAGTATTCTGCTGCAAAGGTGATAGTGTTGTGTTTTTTTAAATGTCATTTGTAAGATGAACATGCTCATAAATATTATGGTGAATAAATAAGCTTACTTTGCCTTATCATATTTAGTTAGCTCTGGGGAAGTATGATCAGCATTTTCACTTAAGTGTCGACCTCGATCTGTAAATTTGCTTTGCTGTTCCTGCTCATCCATGGAGACACTTGCTGTCAGTCCTACATTTTCTTCCTGTTGACTTCTCTCTTCCTTCTTATCTGTTACAAGTTTAGTTCTTTTACTTAAAACACTGGAATGTTTTTCTTCTACAAATGAAAACTTCTGATGAGATAGAGGATGAGATGTTTGTGTGAACTGAACAAAATTTCTTTCTTTGGTAGTTTTGAGGTTTTCAGAGGTTCCGAACAATGAATTGTCATTTGATTTTTCTTGATATTTCTCCAATTCTTTATCTAGGAAGCTTGGGTCTCCTTCAGAACTCTTATATTTTTTACTTTTTATTCTACTTTCATAAGATTCTTCAGTTTTAAATTTGTGCTCTTGATCCTGACGATGATCAGTTACAATTGATGATTTACGACCTGGTGTAAATATTGATGAAAACTCATCAGATGCATATTTCAGATTGACTTTTCTTTCCCTGCGTAGTTCCATTCTGGAGTCATCATGTGTATCAGATGACTGAACTCCTCCAGTTGGTGATTTTAATGAATCTGTAGACCAAAAATATCATAAAGCAATGTAGTATTTAAAATTTACTTATAGAATATTAATTTGCAATAAAGTTAAAAAATATTTTATTTGTGAATAGTTCTTGGCATAAGCTTTTACCACCTTTAATGATAAGGATCTATGGCTGAGATTCAGCTGAATAAATAACTGAGTAAAGTATACACTACTCTTCAAAAAACCTTGATAAATTAATTGCATTTTGGGTCTCCTTTAAATCACATGAAATGTTATCACAGAGTTGGTTTATTTATTATCTGTTACTTTCTTTTGACTTACAAAGCCACTAACAAATCAATTCAAGGTACAAACTATAACTGAGTAACAACATTTTATATTCAACTTTGGAAAAAAATATCAATCACAATTTAACAGAATAGTAAGATGTTAACATTTCTATTGAATTTATACTTAAATAAAAGACAGGATATTTAAGCTTTTCTATGGAGGAAAGTATTTTCCTATTCATATAAAGTGTTAAAAATGTATTTTTTGCAAAATTTATTAACTTTTTTCAAATACTTACTGATTTGCCAGTGGCAATGAGGACTAAGAAGCTTGTCATTAAAAAAGTGACAATGAAAAACAACCAAAAATCCTATTTTTCAACATACACACAAACAACCTTATATTTTACCACAGAACTTTTTCATTTATTACTGTCCAGAATAATGCCTGAAAGCTTCAGCTGGTACATAATCTACATACAGGAGGCAACATTGTTCAATTTAGATATTTGTATTGTTCTTTGGTCAGAGGGTGGTTTGGTGTAAGGTGATGGGTGTGGCTTAATGACTAGAATGTTGAGAGTTTAAGAAACAATCTGAGCATTATGAAAAATAAGCCAGGCTATAGAACATTTTTTACTTATTATTGAGATAGCCAATGAAGTCAGTAAGTGAATTATTGAGTTATTCATAAGTTACAGTGAGTGTGTTAGTTTTTGAGTAAACAGTACATGATTCAGTTCATTTTGTATAATGCCAGCCAGTTAGTTCAGTGCTATAAATTTTTAGTTTGTTTTTACAAGAAAGTACAAGGCATATGAAATTAGGATTAAAATAGAATTCCTGTTTAGTCATTGCCTATTTGTGAGGTTAAGTCTATTGATTATGTAAAATCATTGAAATAGTACTTAAAAAACTAAATCACTTTCTTTATCAAGTAAATTGGACTTTTATTAATATTTTTACCAAATAATCAAATAATAGAAACTATTACAACAACAAAGATTTAGATCTAGTTAGTTAAAATTAAAACAAACATATTATGTGGATAGAGTGTTAGTGATAGTAATGTAACAGTACTCTATCTTTGCTAGGAGTTAGGTCAAAGTGCATATGTTACAACCTTTTAGAGAGTTACATTAAAATTTGATTAAACCAGTTTATTATCAATATATATGAATAAACTTGGCATCAAAAATAGTTAATTAATGAATTTTTAATATTGTGTATTAATATTTTAATTTTATAACGAAATATTTCAAATATTCCTCAATCTCCGTAGTATGAGAATCATGACATTTCTTCTCTAAAAGTCTTCTCCCTTCTCAAATTTATTTACCATCCTTCTCTGAAGTATGAAAGTTCAATACAAATTACCCATCATAACATAGATATTACTGAAGCAAAGTCTAATTTTTATAGCCTTCAATCTTATTTGGTTACAAAGCAATAAACTAGAAAATCAGACCCACTTGCTATGCCCACCAATCAAACCATCTCTTTCAAAATAACCAATAGTACTCTCTGATGCTTTATACTACATTACTTATAATAATAGAAAGGCAAAGTTTTAATCTTTCAAATGATGTATTATATTACATTGTTTTCAGTACAGAGCATCATCTATTTTGTCTTCAGTTTGAGAGTTTCTCTTGCAGTGTTCAGATCAAGAACTTGATAACAAGAAACCCAATTTTTAGAAAATAAAAACTTTATTATAAATGTACGACGTTTCCACAAGATTTTGCCATCCTCAGTTTTTCATTACCCAGTCAAGCCATCTCAAAACTTTTATTTTCAGATCAAGAAGCTTTGGGAATAGTTTTAAGGCTCTTATGTGATAGTTAGAAAGCCATATTAATGATGACAGTTATAGGACATTGTTTGCATTGTGCATGTTAATATTCTGTGTTCTTAGGTGCATTATTTAAGTAAAAAAAAAATTATTTAATGTGTTAGTACCATCAGTATAAAAAAAGTAGGCCTAAATTTCATTCTCAACTGAAAGCAAAAAAATAAGATCAAAGTAAGTACAATATTTCTTGTTTTTTCACGTATATTTTTTACTTACTGTTATAAAAGTAACTAAAATGTTAAAATTAGAAACTTATGTGGTTAGATTAAGTAAGACAATGACAAAACAAAACATAAAATTCTTAATGAGGTATGCTCGCAAGTAGCTCGTGCATTATGTCATTCAATACAGTACACGTTTGCAGAGTGATTTACAACTTGTGTCGTAGGATTATTAGTTAAACAGGATTCAAATCGCAATGAAACAGTAAAATGCAGTATAAACAGATGTAGACTGTTACAAGCTCTTTAGGACAAACAATTGTAGTTTCCTATTACAATATTTTCAATATTTTTCTTTTACGTGTTTACAAAGTCAGTAAATTGATTGAGTCTATAAAGAGTTAGGATAGAGAAAAAAACAGATAAAATATAATTTTACAGAAAAGAAACTTTGATATTTATTTAGGAGGTTTTAGAAGCTATACAAATGAAATTTAAAAATTTTCAGATGAAAAAAGTATTTTTAGTTTAACATGAAAATAAATTAGCACTCTGAGCAGTCAACACTCTGATTGACACATCTTTAGTAAAAATATGATTTTTTGTTAAAAAGGACTTGTAATTTTAAAAAAAAATTTTTGGAACGAGTGTAATCTTCAATCTTAAAAACTAAAATTTTTTAAAAAACAATGATTATTTTATACACAATTCTATAAAACTGAGATTGTTTCCAGTCTCCAAATTACTAAAATAATAACTTACTGTACAAGATTTAATTATGAAGTTGAGATAAATGGTTGTTTACCTTTTTTGGATGTTTTATTGAGTAAAACTAAGGATAAATCGGAAACTACCATTTATCGTAAACCTTTCTCTATAATCATTCCACCACATCAAATATCTTGTCACACTACATCTAAAAAAACCTGTGTTTTTTACTCTTATGTGGATAGGATATTAAAATTATGTTGTAAACAAGATGACATCAATAATGAGTTATTGTTAATTAAGCACATAACAGTGGAAAGAGATTTTAATCCAGATGTTGTTGACACAGCTGTCCATAAAACTAAAAAACAGGGATAAAAATATTAACTTAAAACCATTTGTTGAAAAAAGTAAGAAAAACTATTTAGTACTACCATATATACCTGGTTTATCTTGTCAAATAATGAAAAAAATTAAAAAAACAAAAATTTTCCGATATACAAACTGATAAACAAAGTCAGCAAAATTCTTAATACAATTA